TACGTTTGATAGATGACTTTCTATTAATTTAAAACTTTATTGCATACTATAGAACCTGTCTCTTATACACATCTAAAAATCAGATATTGTAAACCAATCAGTAACCAATCAGTCACCAATCGGTTATGTCAGATTGGTGACCGATTGGTGACTGATTGTCAATAATAAACTTAATATATTTATCAAAATAAACTCAAAAGTTCAGATTAAGTATAATTTAACTTGCTTTATAAGACTATAATGCTAATTTTTTAACTTTAATATGTAAATCAAATATTGTAAACAAATCAGCAATCAATCAGTCACCAATCGGTCATATGACCTATTGGTGACTGATTGACAATCTATGCCTGGTTGGTGACCGATAGGTAACAGATTGAAAGAATCGGTCACTAATAGGTAACCAATCAGTCACCAATCAGTCATATGACCGATTGATGACTGATTTTTCATATTTCGACCTGTGTCAAGAATTGGACTATTGGGTTGAAGTGCAGTTGGAATGTTTACCTCAACTGGAACCAAGAGATTCACTTGCACCTCTGATGTGTTAGCCTAATCATCTGAAATCATCTCTTCAGAATCGAAGTTAGAATCATGAGCTGAAATGACCACCACGGTCAAGGAGATTTCATTCACATGATTAGCGATCATTTTCAAATTGACCTGTTCTATGATGTGTTCGATTTGAGGATTAGTAAGCTTTGAAATTTTGTCAGCACTACACGTGACCCGCTGAATTATATGTCCGCCTATACCTTTTATCTTTTTTAAAGTTACGGGATCATATTCATACCCAAATAACTTATTGATTTTTCTTGCTTTGCAGGTCATTATACATAAATATCCATCCGAAATGCCCGTAAGGTATGGCTTCATTTCAGCATAAATTTGTGATCTTGCAGTCTTATCCACAAGTTTCTTATCTTTGGACCTAAGCTCCACGACCTTATCTTCGAATCTTTCGGAGAATAAACACCAAGCTGTTATTTCTGTCTGCTTTGCTATGATCATTTTTCCCCTTGCAACATTCACTTGGCAGAATGAATTGGCAAGTTTTTTGATGCTTATTGAAACGAGAATTAGGGTTCTGGGAGGAGAAAACTTTATAGGTTCCAGAAGTTGACCAGATGAGAGTAGCTCTTCCAACAAACCTTGGATGAATTCAGTTACTATACTTGGCTCTACCGCCAATTTATCTTGATCGTTAACCAAGTTAACAGTTTTTATATCATGTGGTACAATGGAATTCGCAATATATTTCTGAGCATGATCCTGTGAGGTATTTGCAATGACCTCTATTTCACAAGATGACTCTGTGGAAGTATAACTATTAATTTTATTAATGCTCTAACTTCCCAACTCATCCAAATTATTAACAATGGCAACTATGCCCGTTATACATGCAGGGCCGGATGCGTCATCTTGTACATCTATTTCATGCTGAATTGTTTTCTCTTTATTGTGTTGCCTTATTTCATCACTAATGCTTTTCTTATATACATCGATTAAGAAAGCGTCTATCTCTTTATCCTCCAATGATTTTTCATGATGGTTTTTACCCGAATTGAAGTCAGATGAGTTGTTGTTAGGAGCATTATCATTCAGCAGTTGTTTCTGTTCCAGTTTCGCAACTCTATCGGTGGTATTCTTGATTTTAGCATCACGTCTGTTATTCTCTTCCATAATTTGCTTTATAAGTTTTCCATTCCTGGCTTCAACCTCAGCAAGCTTCTTCCTAAGTTCAGGAATCTCAGCATTTTTAACTTCAAGCTCGGCTTTCCTGGCCTCAAGCTCAGTAATGCGTTGCTTTAATAAATCTACTTCAGATTGCATGTCCTATAATATTTTTATATTCTGTATATTAGTATTCAAAATCGGAACTGATCGTTAACCAAGTTAACGGTTTTTGCCAAGAAAAAATTCTTATTAATACATGCGGAAAATAAATACAAAGGTTCGGGACCGAAGGACGTAACCCGTGATATATGTATAAATAATTCATTGCCGGGAGACAGCCTACAATACATAAAAAATGCGAATATATCACGTTACAAGATACAAAAATTATTCTTCTGTCAGGGGATATACGGTAATATGGGCGTATTCTGCATCAGGTTGCCCAGTTTATTTCAAATTTGAGCTTCGAGTGCGCTAACTGCCTGATTCGTACAAATTGTAACTATTTGATTAACTCTTTCTACCGGGAAGGTATTAAGTTGTCCTCTGGAAATGACGAGTTCTTACTCAATATGCGCAGTTGGTGGGAGTTGCAGTTTGTCAAAGATAGAGAAATAGTATCTTTAGTGAGTACGAGACAATTGAGAGTAATGTTTGACAACCTGCCCAGATTTTTTGCACTAATCAATATAAAGCATATATTTAGACGAAAAAATTTGTATTCTGTAGAGCTTTAATATTTTGTCTACGCGCTATTTATTTAATGTCACGTGACACGATTTGGTGTAGTAGTCCCAGATAGTTCTAGAACATTCGTGATTTTTTTATGAAATATAAAAGGAATTGTCTGTCATCCGTTTGTTCTGTGTCTCCTGTTTGCCCTTTGATCTGACAGAATGAGTGTCTCAATTGAAGGATCGGAAGAAATGTTCACTCAAGTCAGTCGAGAGACTAGAAAAGTGTATTTTTATTGGGTTTAGACCGTTTATCAAAAAAATATGGCTGACCACCACAATAAATAGATATTAACGTATATTGAGGAATCATTGGAAAATTTGAAAGATGAAATACAAGATGTCGTGATGATTGATCTTTCCGCTTATGATTTAGATAATGATAGTGTACTTGAAATGATACATGTTAAATATAACGCTGAGATAATTGGAAAACGCATGTTTATCAAAGTAAGTTTCATTCTAGCTTTCACGCCTATAGTATATATAATATAAATTAATTTCACCACCGGTTTATATAGTATGACGGAAAATTAAAGCAAAGAATTCATCGGAGATTAGCACATTCTGCAGAAACTCATAATCCAAATTGGGATGTGGATGAGACCGGAACGTGTACGACAAGGAATCGTGATACTTTTCTGCCCGACGTTGGCATATGGTTCCAATTAGTGACTAAGGCACAACGGGTAACTCCCATTAAAGCACGATGTCCGCTCCCTAACGTATGGATTGGGGTAAATGTATTAAATTTTTGTCGGAAAAATGTACAATTTGACTTATTAGATTCGGTTTCTATCATAATTAGGTCTTTTTTAATAGAGACCCAGACCGTAGCCACGCTTTGTCAAATATTGATTTAATCCAACGACAAAACTTGGGTATTGAATTTGTATGTATTGCTCTTCCTTTTTCAACTGCCAATTTTCCGCAAAATCCAAATCCTGGGGCAGCTACAGTACAAGCAACACCTACAGCAAACCAAAATTCAAGGCCCACTAGAGCACCGTATATTATCCATTGGAACGCGAATAATGTTCCAGTTTACTATAAAATGAGTTGGAATAATCACATCATCCTCAGATGTGGCTGGGCTCTTGATTTCAATCTTGTCCTAAACGTACTTGCAATGTGATCATTATTATTTAAACGTCTTTATATTTGAAGCTTATGTAAAAAAGTTTGCGTTCATTTTACTGCAAAGTAGAAAAAAAATAGCAAAAAATCATACATGCAAATTATGTTAAATAAAATTATATATGCAAAATGTCGCAATAAATAAATACAATGATCAAGACACATCTTGTGATATTATTAGTCCGAAGTGTAATGAATGATTATATATTTCTACGCTGTAGGTACACAAAATGTCCCAAGCAGCAATGACAACTAAAAACTAAACAGCGCTTTGGTACCATTTCCTAGTTTTTTCTTGATTATCTCTTTTACACGAACAGTCCTTATCCGTTCATCGCATTGTGGGCATTTCCCACATTCCGTAAATTCTTTATCCTTAACGATAACTTCATTCATCCCTAATTTATTAAGGATGCTATACGCAATACCTGGCTTCCAGGCTCATCATTACATGCAAAATTGCGTGATGAGTTATTGCATCAATCCTTCTTGCTAATCGCGATGATTAACTTACACATACCCCAAATCCCCACGTATCTTTCCTGAGCAGGCATTTGACCATCAGGAGTTGTATTTTTTAGTTCTTGTTCCTTCCTAAAATTTGCTACCTTGCGTTTAAGATCGAAATTCTCAAAGAGGTCAGCATTCTTCTTCTTAACCTTATCAATTTCTTCCGAAGCGCTTATTCTCTTTTCTTCACGCTCCGCCTCAAGCTCGGCCTCAAGCTTGTCAATCTTTTTACGATCTATCTCAAGCTTGGCCTCCAGCTCAGCGTTGCGCTGTCTTAATAAATCAAGCTCAGACCTCGCGGTTGAATTAGCCTGCTCCTGACAGAGCGCTGCGGTATCACTAACAGACATGGTTAACAATGTCATATGTACGGAAAAAATGTTCAATGTTACTCATCATCTTCTTCGGAGTCAGACACATCCACATCTGCGTGCCGGGTCTTGTGCATGAAAACAAAAATCTCCCTCTTTAACTCGTCAATCGCTTTCCCAAGCATTTCAACGTACGCTCCCAGTATATCGACATTTAGCTCTGATGGACCTTTTCTTGCTATTTCACTATCGTAAACAGACTGCAAGGACATGACTGTTAGTACGGAAAATATTCAAGGATATATGCATTTGAAGCTTGCGTACGCAAGAAAACTGCTTTATTTAATAAAATACATCATGCCGGAATTCGGCTTACAGTACATAAAAATTGCGAATATATCGCACTACATGATACAAAAATTATTATTCTGATCCTTTTTCCTTCGGTGATACAGGGTGTACGGTGATATGAACGTAGTCTGTATCGGGTTGACCATTAAAATATTCGGAAATTAAAGTCTGCGATTGCATACGTCTTTCATTAACACTGCTAGGATGAATTTGACGAATATCTAGAGGAATGTTATTAAAAGACGCCCCTAGATTGTTTCGAATTGCGGTTTCAAGAGCGCTAACTGTTTGTCCCCTGTCAATTGTAATTCTTCTATCACATAGAAGATCATTAGAAACAATACGGCAGTTGAGAGTAATATCGGTCATACTGGATTCCTGAATACATATGGAGCCCCTTAGTGAGATTATTTCCATGAAAACATTTTCATCATTTTCAATCTCTTGCATATACGCACCTTAATTTTTTTGCGAGAAGGTTGAGTAAACTTCTACCTGTCCTTTCACGCTTTACATACTGGAACTTGCGGAATAAGAAGCCGAACACCGAATATAAGAAAGATGATTAACATTGTCGTATGATGCCAAGAAACCTTTGAAAGCACATGCAAGCGGAATTTTCAAACCTTTTCACATGAAGATCTTCCTCGCAAGTCTCAAAGTACTGGCGATCTCGGAATTGCAAAGTCCTCAGCCCTTCGTAACATATGCTTTTGACGTTGATACTAACTTATAGGGCAGGTTCTGTGTCGCAACAACGCATTTTCGAGCCATAGGCGGATATTCTTTGCGCGTTTGTATGGGAAAAAAGACCGCAGGACCGCAGGATAGAGGTATGGTTGCATAAGTTCTTTTTGGTTAATATGCGAAAATTAATACGTCGCACAGACCTGCCATTAATTCTGTCGTACAATTCGTGGCTCAGCAAAATTCTTCCGAGCTGTAGATCACCGCACCGGGCGTGCACTATCTGCTTGTCTAAGATAATCATTAAATGCAAAATCGTTCGGAGTATCGGATGTCCCCATAAATATGCCTCTGAGGAGGGGCTATAGCATTAAATCGATTCATCACCCTATCATGGATCTGAGTGCTTATGTTTCATCATAAACATCATTGATATAACAAATCCATCCGACAAGTCCGGGGTATAATAACTCATAGAATGTATATAACGAAGGAGGCAGTACCGGCATATACATTCTATGAGTTAATACATAATATCATCTTTTTTCTTCATTATTCTTCCACCATCTATTGCTTCCATTCTTCCACCATCTGATATGGCTTCCATCAATCCTCCCGTCTGCCAGTCTCATTAACCATCCAATTCCTAAAACCAAATCATATTCACACTTGTAAGATCCTTCAAAAATCATTTGAAATTCTTCGAAAATCTCATATGATTTTCCCAATGAGGGATCTAGTTCCGACTCAAAGATATTGGGTAAAGAAATGGTAACTACTGCACCACGTCCTCCAATCACACTTTCGCTGACACATACACCCATTCTTTCGGCAAGCGTCTTACTAATAACGCTATACCTTCTTTCGGGGGTCAATTATTGCCTTAACAGTTACATTTTTATCAACAAATGTACAATCTACTATTAATCTTTTGCGAATTTCTCGAATTACCTCATCTTTCCATATATTATCGATACTGCAACAATTTTTAAGATCCTGTATCGATAAATTCTTTAGAATAAATGGTATTAGTTCAGCCGCGAGCTGATCAAGATAGTTGGCTGTGCTCATTTTATATTGTTATAGATCCGGGATAATTATTTCAATTGAAAAGCAGGTATTACCCCTGAGCTAATAATCGTCTCTCCACGGCGCGGTAACTACCTGACCTGCATAAATATTTTTTGTATTGAAGTTTTATCTACCATTAATAACCTTCATACAACCATACACTGGCCTACACTAAATTACCAGATTTTTATTATGTAAATTCGTGTGCATGTTACACAATCGGCGATTTCTCCCTATCGCACATATAAATAAAAAAACTAATACTTTGACGCGTCTCCATATCTCTTCCATTACCATATGTTTGGAAAAGAGCTTTCTGAAACACTTCGTGAACGTATTATTGGCTCCTATCTCAGTGGTATTAAACAATGTATTATTTCAGAAGAACTTGGTGTTCCTAAAAATACAGTAAATGATACCATTAAAAGATATAAAAAAACAGGTTCTGCACACCTGAAAAACGCCCAGGTCATCCAAAAATGCTTACCAAACGCGATACATGAACTTTACAACGTATTGTCTGTAAAGATTGATTTTCACCTCTTGGTGATGTAACGAATAGACTAAACTCAAGCCTTAACACAAATTTTCATCATAACACAGTCAGAAAGTATCTTCATAATAAAGGCCTTGGTAATTATACTGCACAGAAAAAGCCTCTTTTAACCAGAAAACAGCGAAAGGATAGGTTAAGATGGAGTAAAGACAAAAAAAACTGGTAGGAAGAATGGAAACAAGTGGTGTGGTCAGATGAGTCAAGATTTGCTCTTTTTGAGTCAGATGGTCGGGTAAGAGTATGGAGAAGAGCTGGAGATGCCTACAATAAAGATTGCATTCAACCAACAGTAAAATTTGGCGGAGGGTCAGTTATATTTTGGGGTTGTTTTGGATGGCATGGGTCAGACCTTTAGTTGTGGTGGAAAGGAATATGGATTCTGATAAATATGTCAATGTTCTGGCCAACCACTTTATACCATAGGTTAGCAATTATCCAAATTCTATATTTCAACAGGATGGAGCTTCGTGTCATACATTATCTTATACTGTTTGGTGGATATCATCACATGCCGTTCCAATTTTAGATTGGGTGGCACAAAGTCCTGATCTTAACCCGATTGAGAATTTGTGGAATCATTTAGACCGTCAGGTACGAAAAAGGAGACCTTTACCTAAGTCTAAACAAGAATTAATTAGTGCAGTACAAGAGGAGTGGGAAAATTACTATAGAAACAATACATGACCTAATTTTAAGCTTGTCTAGGCGCATTAAAGCAGTAATTAAAGCTAAAGGTGGACACACTAAATACTAATTATAACAAGTTTAAATCTATTAAATAATAAACTTTATATTTAGTATTTTATCTTGTAAAAATTTTTTTATTAGTTAATAAATATAAAAAAATTTTTCATTTACATACAAAATTTTGAACTTTATGCACTAATTTTATAAATAATAAAAAAATCTGGTAATTTAGTGTAGGCCAGTGTATAACCTATATATTACCATTTGACAGCATATCTGCTATCATTACCAGGTTTGTGAGAGAGAACAAACTCAATCCGGAAATGAGTCTTGATGAGCTTTCCCAGTATGCACCAGAATTGTTATCTCTTTTGCCCGACAAAGTAAAAAGAGATCAGGCATGTCAACGACTTCAAAATGGGTATGGATTTAGTAGAGAGCAAGCGTCTGTATTAGTATCCATTCTGAGGGCTGGCCAAAGTAAAGGTGGCGCCACATCCAATTCCTTTCTGGTAACCGGTCAAGAAGTAAAATGAGTGGAAGCAGAAAGTATTAAGGAATTGGCTCAGCGTATTGTGCAAGATAATCTTAGCAAAGCGGAAGTAAAAGTTGCGGCTAAATCTTTAGCTGAAACAGCTCCTAATGCCGACGTGGGCACATCTCATCTTTCTAGACTCCGTAGCGAGCTGCGATCCCTCAGCATCTCAGAAAAAATTATCTCTGCTACATTAAATCCGGACATAACCTGTTCAGCTAATAAAATCCAAAAGGAGAAATGTTTACTGCGCGAAAATGAAGGGATCAATTATCCTGACCATTTTGCATTGGAATCGGTTAATAAAAGATTACTCAGGTATGATGTATTCATTGCGCCTGACATACAAGCACTTGCCGATGTGATGGTAATGCTTTGTATTCCCCTGCCAAAATTAAAGACTTATGCATATCTAATGGCGGTGTAACTGGATACGCAAAAAACCAAGGTCAACAGGATATTCCTAGGGTGTTTAGATCGCTAGAAAAAAATGAGAAGCGGGCAAGGCAATTGCTTACATGGATTCAGGAAGCAATCGTCTCCAGGGTGTTAAAGGATCCAGGAAAGCTAGGCGCGCAATGGTTCAATACGTTCCTAAAGAATTATAACCTACTTCCATCCTACTTACGTAAAATAGGAGTAGTATTCGCAGTAGAAGAGCATGATGCCAAAATTTTATCAAAAGCTATGACTATCGCCAGTGAAGCGCTTCGACACAGTTCTGATAATAACACTTCATCGGTACAAAATTATATAATAGTTAATTACAGACCTCGTGGAGTACCTTATGATCAGGCAATTCCATTCAAAGTCTCTGACAAAAACTAATTATATGGGTGCCCCGCCTGCGCAGGAAATCGGTTAGGTGAGAATTTATTTTTTTTGAACAAGATACAGCATATATGACGCATTTATCTCTCAGTTTGTATTAGAACACATTGCCGTAGAGGGCTGTCTTAAATCTCAAAAATATGGAATAATATTCAAAAATAAGTTAGATTATATTGTAAGAAAAAAAGTTTAATTCGAAAATATTTACGCGATCGATCACTAAAAATGTGGAAATACTTCGGGTGTCCACTTAATCGTTTCTTTATTACATTATACCATTCTCTTGGAGTATAGTAATAACTTTTCTCCATTTCTCTGTATCCAGCCACGAGGATGTTTCTTCTTTATCCTCAAACTTTCAACGGATAATCTCTTCTCCGATCAGTCTTTCCCATACAGTCATTTCCATATGTTCGTGTGGATCTTTATCTTCCTCTCTCGCATATTCACACATTCACACATCACCTTCCATTCTATGACGGAATGTTATTGATTCACGTTTATCTTCATCTGTGATTGATACAAACTTAACGGGTTCTCACTGAGCTCGATTGCCTTTCTTCTGAGTCGTTCCTCATGTTGAGCTCTAGTCGGGATAATTGTAGACAGTGAGTCATGATGAGGTATGACTTGTTCCACTTCTTTGTCTTTTCTAGATGTTTGTGAAGGTTTGGGATCAGGGTTGGGATTAGGATGTTCGGATTCAGGTCTCACAACTGCAGATTTGATAATTTGTGAAGGTTCATTTACCGCAGAGGTGTCAGATGTTAACGCCATCAGAATTTTAGCTTGGGATGACTCATCCCGCTTTTCTGGTATATTAAATACTGGGATTTTCACAGTCTCATTTTCTAAGTCTGGCTGTGGTACGTCAGAGAATTCTTCGATATTACCAACCGATTCTCGCAACTTGGCTACAATTTTAGAACGATCAAGAACATAATACCATTCTCTTTTTTTACTGCTTGCTCGTTTACGCTCAATACCAATTTGGGAAAATTTCTTTCCAAGTATGTTACTAGTAAATGGCTTTTTACCATTATCTCCGCACCATTCAGAGTACTTTTAATATAAAACATTGCATGTCGGTCTCTCTACTCTATCCAAGTCCCAAGGTGAAATATAGTTGATCATAAATCATATGGGATTAGGAAGTTGGTCGCGCATAGTTTTCACCTTCATTTTTGTGGATGGGATATTTTGTGGTAGGTATTCAGAGAGGTCACGATTAAAAAAATATCTCATGACAACTTCTGGCACGTCATGATGGTCTAAAACCTTAGCCAAGCGATCAAAATATGCGAAATTCCCTCTACAGCATGCAGACACATCAAAACAAACAGTTCATGCGTCCCTTATATCTATTTTTATTGGGACATCATGATTGCTTGTAACCATAAATGCAGAGAAATCATTAATTCGTGAAGTTTAAGGCTTTTTCGTTCTATATATGTCCACCTTCCCAGTAGTTATGAGGTCTTTGAGACAGAGATTCAATCTATGCCAATCATCGGAAGACATTCCTGTCTCATTCAAAGTAATAAGCTTACGTCCTTGAAGTGGGTTGTTGAATTTTCCAAGAATTTTACCTAAATCTGATATTGCGAAATGAAAATGCGGACCTAAGACTTTATCGCCAATAAAATCAGTGATAATATTTTTCCCACACTGCTGTAAAGCAGACTTTAAAACTAGAATTGAGCAAGATTTATTGTTCGGCTTCTGTACTAAAAATGCCCACCAGTTCCAGATATATTCGTTAAGCCTTTCATCGCCACTGCAGATCACGTTCTTTACATGCCAAAGTATCGGCTCTATAATATCTCTATTGATTTCTGTGGCCGGCTTAGCCAAAAATCCAAGGAAGAGATTGAAGAATTCATTTTTTGGTGGGACAACGTTTGAAGAATACGGTAGGAAATTGATTTCATCATACTTTATTAAACCCATAGTGGCTGATTGTCTTATTAACAACTTTATCTTTACCGTTTCCCACCTAATTCATGAATCTTGATCATAAAATCCTCGAGATCTAGTTTAGCTACCATCTCAAAATAATGACCATCTTCCGCACTTCTATGTTTGAAAATCCACAATTTTGAACCTTCTTGAATGAAGGCAACTGTTGCTTGGATAGCTTTATAAACTTTAGCGTGATAGTATTTCCTTCCTGAAGTGCACATATATATTTAATAAGTCACTCCAAACGAAGTGGTCATATGGGTCTGTAATCCTGGATTTTTCTGACTTGGCAGGGCTCAGAAGCTTTTTCTCCTGATCTAAAGCTGTTTCATTGATAGTGAGCTTTAATGAGAGTTTTCTCACCTCCGGTCGCTTTTCTTAATCCGCGCGATAGCAATGAAAACTGTAAGACTTTTTATTTTGAATGATATATGCGTTCTCACTGTTATGATCCTGATCACATAATGGGTAGTGTGATGGAGAAATACATGTCAGTGGAAATATGTCAGGTTTATTATCCGATGGGTATGAGAGATTATATCCATCAATGTTATTCTCTTTTAGTAATTTCTCTAGTTCTGCGAATTCAGCTTGCGTGATTTCATTATTTCCACTATCGTGACTTGCTGTTTTAATTTCAAGGACAACTAGAAGAGGACTGTCTATGATTCGAGACTTGTCATTAGGTGTGCGAAGCATAAAGTCATAGACAGTTCCATCTTTAGGAAAAATACCCTTTTTAACGCGAACATGCTTTTTGGTCTCTTCATTGTACTTGGGTGATCTAAGCATTCGCAAGGAAAATGATCGTTTATTGGTGATATTATCGATGATAGTCTTACTCTGCAATTCTTCTGGAAGTTTCCTGCAGACCAACTCAGTGAAGACAGCGATTTGCGAAATATTCTTAAGTCTCATTCTGAAAGTAGCAACATGGAGAGACATTTTTTTCGCATCACTACTATTGGTAAACATTAGAGTATTTTTATCCCATTTAGGAAAGACTTCTTTACATGTTTCACTGAATGCCTGATAAAGATTATTGGCCACATTATTACGAGTAAGTTTGGGATTGATTGCATCTAGCATTTTTTGTAGCAAATCAAAATCTATGAAAGGGCGAAGTGATTCATCTCCATCAATAATTTCGTGCAGTAAGTGTCCATCATGATCTGTGAAAATAGCATTGATTCCATCCTCATAATCTGTTCTGACCTTCTGGATCTAACACTATCATCACGAAACTTATATAGATTTTCACCTATAGCCCCAAGATTAGTTTCACAATGATATGGCACCTCAGTGTCTAAAGAATCAAAGAGATCCACATCTTCATCCAGAATATCCACCATATTGGCATAGTCCTGATCATTAACGAAGCAAGCAGTTTCATCAGAAGGTACCCGATCATTAATAATGTTAACAGGTTTTCCAGTTTTTTCATCACGTTATGAGGACGCAGTTGAAATACTTTGGTGGTTCATGATTTTATAAAAGCAACTATACAATCTGAGAGAAGAAAGTATTACAAACCGAGAGAAAAAAGTTTAAATAAAAAAAAAGTAAAGATAAAGAATCCAACGTAAAATACGATATGGCATTTTATCAATGTCCATATATTTTTAGAAGTGGAAAAGTATGCAATCGGAGTTGCTATCAGAAAAAAGGATATCTGATACATTGGAATTTACCACCACGCAGTCCATGCAAAGAATGCGGCAAGTTAATAACCTATTCAAAATATGGAACTTGTGATATTCACGCTGAAAAGTATTGGAAAATAGCACAGTATCATCAGAAGAAGCTGACCAACATTACTCCTATTATTAAAGCGAAAATGGGGTTGTCACTAGTTTAAGCTAACCGGTGACAGAACTAGTGACACCTTTCCATATCTCCTTTAGCTTCTTAGCGTGAAATAAGCCATTCTAAGTAGGTGTCACCAGTGTCACCAGTTGGATTTTTTACTAGAGATACTGGTAATACTACTTTTTCAGCAGAATGTGTGATGCGAGATGCGGGATACTACCAGTTCAAGTCCGTTCTAGTTTGCAGATAACTGGAACAAAACTGGGACAAAACTAGAACAAGCAGAAAAGATTTTTTAGCATGTTTGAAAAGAATTCCAAGTATATGTCCTAGTTGTCCTAGTTGTCCTAGTAAATTTTTGAGAACTCCTACTTTTTTTTTTCTTTTTTCAGCGGAATGTGAACTGTGACTGCAAACAGTAGGATGTGAAATGCGAGATGCGAGATGCTACCAGTTCAAATTCATCCTAGTTTGCAGATAACTGAGATGAAACTAGGACAAAGCTGGGATGAGCCAGAAAGCTTTTTTAGTGTGTTTGGAAAGAATCCTGAGTAGTTGTCCTAGTTGTCCTAGTAAATTTTGAGAACCCCTACTTTTTTTTACTTTTTTTACCCAGCCAGCCAGGATGCGGAGTACTACCAGTAGTATCTCAGGAAAAAAATCGTATTTTTACTCTATACTTCTCATTTTACTAAAACAATTAGGACAACTAGGACAAGGTAAAGAAAAAGTATACAAAAACAGACAAAAAACAAGGAAATAACCAGATCAAGCCTGTTCTAGTAACCGTCCTAGTTAGCCAAATAATTTATCCAACTAGGACAGGGCCACCAGACAGCACCCTGACACGAAAAAGTGAAGTCTTCTCCGTAATCTATTATAAAAAATTGGAAGAAGGCTACACTTTCCTAGGTATATATCTGGATACTTAACAGGAGATTTTTTACCGTGAGGACGAATTGTGCAGGTCAGAGGTTGCGATGTCACAGAATGAATGGAACTTACGACAAATTTACCAGACTCTCGTTGATTTGTTTCACCCACACCATGAGAATCTAAGCAGGATCCAATTGATTCTAAGTCAGAGTTTTTCAATTTCTTCCGAATTTTGGCCAAAGCCTCCAGCTGAAATCACCCAATTGTATCCTTGGGAAACGGGATTTCCAGCCTTAGACAGGAACCCAGACAAGGCCAATAACCAGCCGGAGAGTAACCAGAGCGGCGGC